AGGTGGGGAATGGCAAATGGGAAGGCATACTCCACTTGAGTGCCAGAACTCATTGCAGGATCTGAAGGTGCTTTTTTCCTTAATAGCATTATTTAAAGACAGATCAGCATTATGAATTTCCATTAAGAGCATCGCTAGAACAGAGGCAGCACTGCTGCTAGGCTGTTGCAGTCGGCTGGCAGCGTGATTAGCTCTAAAAGGAAAAATGTCATTATTGTGGCAGGGGGGGGTGGCAGGGTGCCTCTTGGGGTTGGAGGAGCCAGGACAGACCGGATGGTGGTTTCACTAGGACTAGATAAAGCAGCAATAGCTGGAAATGGGAGAAGCCACATTCAGCAAGCAGGTCGAGGTGTTGATTTTGTTCTCATGTGAGGACAGAGCCAGGTGGAATGGAGGGAGCAGCAGTGATTCCCTGCTTGGGCAGGGGGGTTGGACTAGACAATCTTGAGAGGTCCTTCCCATCCTCAGCAACTCTTGAGGTTTGTGCGGAGGAGTCTGCAGATGGGACTGCAGATTGAGGGGACACATGCAAGCTGCTTGCAGCCCTGCTCCTTTCCTGCTCCCAAAACTGCTCTGCCCACCACTGGAATTTGCTTTCCTGGCTTTGCTGCGCTTTTCTCTTGCCAGCTTCCAGGCTCAGTCCAGCAGAGATGTCATTACCGGAGGGAGCAGCAAGAAGAAACCACTGGCTGTAGGAACATCATTGGTTGCTCTGGTCTACCACAGCACTTTGCTCAAGTGTTTTCCTTCCTTTTCCCTTCTGAAAGTGTTTAATGTCCCCTGGAATTTGCGTATATACATAGGCAAGAAGGAACACAATGACACTTGACGCTAAGAAAGCTTCTAGTCTCAATTCTGATTTCAGCTACATTATTGTAAATCTGTACTTTATTAGGATGCTTTCAGCTGATATCTGTTTAACTGTTACCATTTAGCTGGTCCTAGTTGAAGAATGAACGCAGATGTGAGAAGACTGTGTGTTAGCATACTTAATTAAAAATCAATGTTTTAGCACTGGAATTCACCCCTTTAAGTGGAGGGAGTTAGGCTGTGTTGAGCTGCAATCAATCTGTATAACAGGTGTTCTGTCCAGCTGCATAGGCTTTAACTAGAGCCAAGGTGTAAAGGACCTGAGACTGTAGCCCCACAGCATGAGTTGGTCATTAAATGTTTTGTACTCAATAGATAGTTTTGCAGAAAGGAAATCTGCTTTATGGAAAGGTTTGTATTACTTCTTTCCTGTGTTTCCTAGACACGCCATCAGAAATAGCCGTAAGCGCGTAGGAGTACCTTGTCTCCCAATGTACGTGTCAATCACATCCCAACCAGAGACTTTAAGACAAAATGATTTGCTTACGTGAAGGTGGCCAGGAGGGTCCCGTATAGGAACTTGCTGCCTGGCTTGCTTTTTATGATTCCTCCTGTGGGATCAGTCCTGCAGACTAGGCTGCTTAGCTTCATATGCTGGATCTCATTCTGTAGATTTTCATGTGAACATGCCTTACTGCTGTGTTTGTTTTTACCAACACTGCTGTAGTTTCCTGAGTAAGCTGTAGCTGAGTAATTGGGGAAAAAAACCCCAGATTTTCTAATGTCACAAAGTTTTTGCTACAGTATCTTGATTAAAACTGAAGAATATGGATGAACTTGTGCTCTTAGTGAAGTGTACATTAAGAAAAATGTTATAGTTGTTTTTAATTACTTGTTCTCATTGCTGTAGACTAGCCTCTCCCATACTTTAATGACTGTTGAATATCACTGAAAGCTCAAAAGATCCTCATTGTTACCTTCCAGGGTTTGTTTAGAATGCTTAACATCTCTCAGGTGCTTCTGAAATGTGGTATTTTTATTTTGTGTTTTCCTTTGGTTTTAATTCTTGAATGATCCCTCTTTTCAGATTTCAAATTATAATCTATTTCCTGATGCATTGCTGACGCCCTGTGAGCCATGTCAGAAGTACTTCCAGGTCAGATGCCCTTTAAAAGATTCTGCTATGCAAATATGTGAAACTTTCCTCTTATTTTCATTCTTCTTCTTCCCAGGCCTACCTATATTTTGCTTTCGTTTTGCACTTATACATGAAAAAGACCAAGCACTTTCTTTTCTTTTTAACAATGCCTTTTTGAATAAACTCTCTATTCAGCTTTTAAAAAACTATTCCTACAGACAGTGCAATGCAGAAAAGTCTTATTAGAAGTAAGGACAATTTGGCCATGCACTGTTTTCTGTTTGCAATGGCATTTTCTCTCTTCTTCTTCTAGCTCTGTAAGGTTTATGGCAAGACTGAAAAACATCAATAAAAGCCATTTAAGTAATAATGTTATTTGTATTAATATGATGCTTAGAAAATTGGGACTACTTTGTGTTAAACATACAGTGGTGAAATTACATTAATCCATATCTGTAGGTATGTTTCAAGTATGCAGTTGAGACTGTGATTTGTTTTAAAAAGTAAGCAAGCTAAAATCATGGAATTGCTCTGACAGAACTTCCACCTACTTAAGTGCTGTCTTTATGCACCAACATTTTAATAATGTTATTATTCCCAATAATTATCCTAATTATTCTTAGTTTTTCACTAGAGTCCAGTATTTTTATTTTAATACCCTATATTTACTCACTTATGAGTTACCACTGTTCTCCTGTTTTAGCTGAGATATCAGCTCAGTGATTCTTGGCCTGCTTGTCCATTTGTGTTTGCCTTTCAGCAGAAGGCAGAGGAGGTGAAAAAAGGCTGCCCTGTGCCAGTAGCATTGTCCTTGCTGCTGGTGGCCAGGCAGCACGAGGAGCTGCCTGAGCAGGGGGCACAGGGTCTGCCTGTGGTGGGTGCAGGACCCCAGGCCGGGGTGTTGCTCAGCTGGGGAGGGGCACAGCACCCATGTGCGTTAGGTACCCCTGCGCTGAGGGAGGCCGGGCCAGCGGGAAAGACCAAATAAAGGGTACGGGGAGGCAGTGATTAGAATTTTGGTCTTGAAATTACAGGCCCAGGAAGAAGTTGCATTTCCTTGAAGTTTTTAGTTAGAAAGTTGGAATATGCTTCTGCTGGGACAAATGATGTGTTTTGAGCATCACCGTGTCCTGTATGAAGGAGGAGGGACAGACGATCGCTCCTCTTCCTTGTGCCATTCTACTGGGTGATCTGGGTTTTTGCCAGTGCATTTAAGCATTTCTTTGCATTCAGTCATTTTCCAGCACTTCAGTTAGTCCTAGTCTGGTAGCAACTTCTGCCCTTTCCCATCTGTATTTCTTACTCTCTTTTAGCCTCTTTTGTTGCTTCCCTTTTTGTGGCCTTTGTATCTGTTTCTAAGAGCGGAAGGAAGCTGGCGGTGTGCATCCTGGGGCCTGGCTGGGAGTGCAGGGTCCCTTGAGAGATCAGCCTCCTCCGCTCTGTGCACACCTCGTGGCACCGTCTGAATGTTCATTGGGCATTTGATCAATGAATCATTTCAAATGGGGTCAGGAGGGGAGATGGTGTCTAGTGAAAGGTTCATTTTGACGTTTTTCTGCCTAAGTTCGAATCCCAACCCAACTTAGAAACACTGCGTGGGTCACAAAGACTTCTGGAGTCTTTGGCTCAATCATTGATCAGTGTGCCAATGTTCATCATAAGTCAGTGGGGGAGCTTTATCAAGCAGATTAGTAAAACGTAATACATTTTATTTTGATGTTTCTATGTGATTATTCTTACAGTGGTTTTGATAAGTGAAATGCTAACAGTAGGAGACTGGCTAAAGACAATCTGGCAGGCAGATACTTAAGCTTTATCTAGGAAGATTATTTTTTTAAGAAATTTGTTCAGTGGTAAAAATAGTGGTAAACATTGCATGAAGCAGCTTACTTGTAACAAAAGAGAAGAATAAACTTCAGTTTTGTTCCAGATTGTGGTAGTTTTATTAATGATGAAAAAAAAAAAATGCTTGTTTTAATTTGCTGAAGCATAAAGTAAAATATAATCTAGTGAAATCTATAGATACTGTGGAATTACCTAACTTCTAAAGGTCAGGCAGTGGGTCAAAATTATCCTACCCTATTAATTTATTTTTTTGTGTGACTTCCAGATTGTCAGACTTCTAACTGATTCTGAAAAAAATATAAAACAGCCAGTCCATAAACACAGGCCATTTTGTGTTTTTAAATTAAAACATGTTCTTTAGTAACATTATGTCGTATCAAATGTGACCTTGCTTGAATTAGACTTGGTTGGTTTTAGGCAAGATGCAGAAAGCAACACTTATTGACATATTTATATGAGAAGAATATTTAAATACATAAATATTTAAATTATGTGATGGTTGTGTTTTAGAAGTCTCTTGTAGCTAAAGCTGAAGTTGTCCATAGGATGTTTGTTAACTGTTACCTAAGCTGATGGCTTATGCACAGTGTGTGGGGTGATCTGTCCTCTGAAGAATTTCCAATTAGTCTAGGCTGACTAGGGCTTGAGGAAATGGCAGACACTAAAATTTGTAAAATTGATTTTTAAATTGTGTTTTGAACAAGTTTTAGAAGTTGTTCTAAGCGGGTGATTCAGGGAACAAAGAGTATGCTTGGTCTACTTGGTTTTAAATGAACTGGAGTGACAGTTGGAAGGTGGTTTGACAGCATATCAAAGAGGAGGGAACTGTGTGCACGTTTAAGTAACATTGTGAAGTGCTCTTTTTCACTCTGTGTTTATGTATATGTTCTTTTAAACCCCATATATTTAATCTCCTGTAAATCTGTCCAGCAGTCAGTTCTGTCATATATCAAATATACAAGGATGCAGCACAACTTAGCTGGAATGATCTGTCATCGGCTTGCTCAAATTACTGCTTTTCATTCCTGGATAAGCCCCAGATACATTTTTATGTGCAATATAAGCAGACAGTGATAGCTGAGAATTAGGAACAACAGAAAGGGTGTTTCATGCTGTGGCAGATGGGAGTGATTTATTAATTGGCCTCTAATTTGGTTGCCAGGCGTCAAGCAACAGTGACTACTACAGTATGTAAATTGGGGTGTTCATGGGGCATTTGTGTAGGTTAGTAGAAACCATAAATAATCAGTGATGTTAGGTTTGGTTTTTTTAAAAATATACTTTTGGTCATTTTTTTCATGGTCTAAAAATCTGTTCCCTCAACAAACTTAATATTTTTCAAAATGTGAGCTGTGCCCCTGGCTGATAAAAATCAAACTTGTCTACAAGCAGACAAAAGAATGGTTTAATTTAACTATGGAATACGTGTATTCTGCCCTAGAATGTACATTTTATCCTTCAGCTTGAACTTTGTGAGCTGTAGAAACAGTAAGCCATCTTCATCTCTGGAGCAGCTCTTTTTTTAAAGTTGATTGAATTAGAGCAGGATATTTTGTCAAGGGATTCTCCCATCCGGGCCCCAAAACCAAATACAGTATTGTGAAATACCCTACTTTTTGTGTTCACTGCCTTCTCACTCTCTGCTTCCCCCTTCCAAAATAATAATAATAAAAAACAACCAAGTAAACAAACAAACAAAAAAAACCCAGAAAAGACAGACAAAGACCAGAGAAAATGCAGGTGTTAAGAGACAACAGCTGACTGCCCAGTCAGGCTTAAAATTAGCAGTAATAGAGTTCTACCCTAGATGAAAAAGGAGCAGCATCTGCCTGTGGTCTGCTTCTTAGAAATTTCTCAAATTTCCTGCTTCGTAGTGATGAGCGGTCAAGGAGTTCTTCCGCTCGTCCTTGTCAGAGGTAGAGGTAAAATACGAAAATGAAATGATGGTAAGGACGACTTCTGGACTCACAGGCATTTGCAAGGAGCACCTCTCCTGTCCCCAAGCCTGCCTGGAACAGAATCAGGTATCACCAAAAATTACTTCAGAACTTGTCTGATATAGGGTCAAGCTTTCTGCTTTTTCTCAGCTTCGTGGTCCTGATGATCTCTCTGTATTATTCTGACTCTGGTTTTCCTTATTTAATAAGCTAAGCTTTTGTCTGTTCTCTTACCCACTTAGGTTGTGGGAATTTTCCTACTGTAAAGCAATTATGTGAAGTGCCACATCCCTTTACCAGAAACCCTAGCAAAATAATGTATATAGTGAATGTATTTAATGACTATTTCTTTTGTTTTTCTAGTTGATTCTGGCGTGGACGCGTTGGCGGTGTTTATGGCAAGCAGCAGCACGACGGATGTTGTGAACCGCAACAACCCCGCCACCCCGCCAAACACCCTTAACCTGCGCTCCTCACATAACGAACTCCTGAATGCGGAGATTAGGCACACGGAGACCAAGAACAGCACTCCTCCGAAATGCAGGAAAAAGTACGCGCTGACTAACATCCAGACAGCCATGGGGCTTTCTGATCCAGCAGCTCAGCCCCTTCTGGGGAACAGCTCTGCCAATATAAAGCTGGTGAAGAATGGAGAAAACCAGCTCAGGAAAGCCGCTGAGCAGGGACAGCAGGATCCCAACAAAAACCTCTGTTCCACTGCAGGCATAAACGTAACTTCTGAGAAGTTTGAAGGCAAAGAGCCAATTCCACAGGATTCCTCTGGATGTGAAATATTACCCTCACAGCCAAGGAGGACCAAGAGCTTCCTGAATTACTACGCAGATCTAGAGACATCTGCTAGAGAGCTAGAGCAGAGTTTTGTTGTGATGGAAGATAAATCTGCACCAGGCAACAGCCAGGCTTCTACTGTTATTGTCAATGGGGAAGTCCTGCCCCGGAAACAAAACAAGGTGTCAAGCCCAGAGGATGGCCAAGTTGCCACGGTGTCATCAAGCCCTGAGACTAAGAAAGACCACCCAAAAACTGGGGCCAAAACAGATTGTGCCCTCCATCGGATTCAAAACCTGGCCCCAAGCGATGAGGACTCCAGCTGGACTACACTGTCCCAGGACAGCGCCTCGCCAAGCTCGCCTGACGAAACAGGTACGCAAGTAAAGGCCGCTCGTGGCCACTGTGTTCAGATGTGTCGCTTAACTCCTCTCAGCTGGCAGCGGGAAGGAGAGAGGGGATTTATCAGTGCTTTTGATGGGGAAGTGAATTGCATCAAAACACAAGTACTGAGCTCGCACACAACTCCTTGTCAGCTTGGGAACACTGACAGTGGCAGCCTCCCACTCAATCCTAGCAGCTTTACTGCTGCTGTAGGAGAGGTACTAGCAAATGCTATTTTAGGTCCTAAAAATATCCTACCTGCAGTAGGATATTTGCCAGTTTATAAATAACTGCTTTTCACTAATCAATGAGCACACGATTGTCTGGAGATGCTAAAGTACTGATAGCTGCCTACATACAACAAGCAAACTTTTCTGAGCAGTGATTTTCAAGTTCAGCAAAAATTTTTACTTTTCTGATTCGAATCTGTGTGTCACCCATCCACCTCAAGTCATTTGATGATATTCTTTTATTTTAAAAGTAGTCCTTCAAAACCTTGGGTCATTTAATTTCTGTGTTTTGTTTTCCTTGTGCAGCAGTTCCATACAGTATCTCAGAAGCTGAAACTATTGTGTTTCATATTTTGGAAGCCAGGGCTCATTAATTATTTGAACAGTAATGATGACTTCTGCACTGGCTCTGTTGTGATTTACAACACATCTGTATTTTTAAAATTCCAGAGGTCTCATTTACTCTTTTTTTTTATATCCAAGCCAGTATACAAAGGTACAGCTTTGACAAAACAAAGGGAGGCAATCCAATTCTCGAGGGTGACATGGGGATAAAGAAGTTCATAATGTATTGTTTATATTTTAAGTTATTTCATTATTAGAGTACAGAGATTATATAGTGTTTGGAGACCACCATGATCCAAGTCCACAGCTGCGTTACCTGTCAGTTATGCATGATTATGGCAACAGTGATTTTTATTTTAATGCGTAGGTTTTTTAAAATCGCAACCAGAAATCCCCATTATGTGCCATGTAATGAATCTTCTGGTCTTCTCTTTGATACATAAAAAACTCTTGCTGTTAAGAGGGAAGTTTTCATGAAGTCACCTCTTTATGTGCAAAATGAAAAAGTTTTCAGTTTACTAGAATTGCTGTTTGAGTTAATATTATTTCTTGGGATACCTGATATAATATGGGTGACGTCACTGATAATATTTTCTGGAGAAACAATCAGTAGAAGATATTTAGATAACTTAATGCTGAGCTTGTTGGCTTGTTCTGCCTTTGTACTCACCCCAGGTTTGGCAATGAGAAACTGTGGGTAGAAAACTTATATTCACTGAAAATTTTAATTAGAGTAATTCCAAGTAGTCTAATTAAGTAAGGGTGGCCTAAGATGCTAAGAGCTAGCATAAGTTTTGTTTCTTTTAAAATGTGTTTAAAATTGCCTTCCAACACGTATATTGCCACTGTATTGTGTATAAGCTCTTTCAGCACTCGGGAAGGGGGATTTTCTGAGCTGTTTTGAGGTGTTGGCAAATTTGCTTATTTAAGTAACTAAGTGTTAGCTGAGCTGTGATTTGTTTGCACTATGGAAATAAAGGGGAACTTTCCCCTGCTGAGTGTGGGGAGTTTCCTTGCTTAATTTTTTTTTTTTTTTATTAATTAATAAAGCCTTCAGAGCTCACCACTCTTCTAAAGTAGAATAAAGGGCTTTTTAAAATTCTCCATTACCTTCACCGTACTAGCAACCCATGTATTATAAACAGACAGTTATAGAAAAGCAGATCTCCAGACATCTGAGTTCAGTGTCTATAAGAAAAGAGTTAAAAATAAACAGAAAGCCCTAAAAAACCTCAAAATTGCTTTTCAGCATCAAACTGAAAGAGGTGTTTCTTTCTCATCCCAGTGGTCACTGTCAGAGAGTGCAGAGTAGGACATAGGACCTGTCATACTGGATTGGGTCCCTGGTTTTAAGATGCCCATTTATATAAGTGTTACCATTCACTCTAAAACTCTAAAAACATCCAGCTATTCCAATTTACAACTTACAGACATCCCTCTCTTAGGATTATTTGTTATCTTGAATTTACCTCCTCTATGATAAAATTGTTTCATTCAGTGTTTCCAGTTTCTTTCCAAAATGGACTATCAATTGGTACGACAGAAGAGCTCGAAGAAGTCAAATGTTGAGTTGCCATGGATGCTGGGATGGCTTTTGGACATGATAAAACAGACCAGTTTGGCAGGCTCCCCTGCAGCTCTATCTGGGAGGCTGAAAAGGGGAGTGCAAAAAGCAGTGCAGCTGGTGTAGAAAAAAAGCAGAAATCAAAACTGGTGCAAGTATCTCCAGATTTACTCATTTGGGGGCAGATTTTCTAGTTGTTCTCAGGGGCATCAGCCTGTTAGAACTGAGTAATGTGCCGTCCCTAGGCAAGTTCCTGTGTCTCCAAGGATGTTTGAAGGATAATAAAATAAGAGGTGAAATCAAAGTTGAATACATGAATTAAACTTTCTTTTTTGAGGCAGGGTCAAGAACAGTTCAGTCTTTTGCATTGTAATCACCTGTGCATTTTCCATCTCCTTCCCATGAGTTGCTTGAGTTACTGTGGTGCTGATCGACAAGCATTCACCTCTCACCATGCCAGGTCAAGCTGTGAGAGTTACCTCAGTTGCCAATAACTTGGGTGCTACACCAGTGGGCAGAGTTGGAAGTGCTGAAGGAAATCAAGTAACACTTGCTGCTTCCCAAAACCACTTACACCCTTCTGCCATGGTGGGGACAGAGAAGTAGTATCCCACAGGCATAAAATACATCCAGTGCATTTATGTCAGTGGTGGTTGGCCAAAAACCCAAGAGATTCCCAGGGAGCTGTACCTAGACCCTCTGAGGTCACGGAGCAGAGGTGAGAGCTCATCTTTAGGAGCAGACAAGAAAAAGAAACCTCAAAGCAAAGCTTGGAGATGTCTTGTGATTGTCTGATCTGGTTTTCAACGTCCCTTCAGTGGAAGTGTTACCCCAACCTGCTCAGGCCATCTGCTCCAAAGGCACGTGGTACTTTGCCCTGTGGTAGATCTTTCCAGTCTTTTAGTGTAATATTTCATTCCTTGTTGTCCCTGTGCCAGCATGGGTGAAGGGAAGCCCTCCTGACTGGGGAGTTGTGCGGTGAGTCCTGGTGGTGCCCATCCTGGAAGTCTTGAGATTTTGGGCACGGCCAGGGCTTCTCGCTGCCACTGCATGTGGATGGGAAGGGAGCATCGTGTGGGGTCTTCACAGCTCAGGACTCTCCAACCCTTGTGTTTATGCTGCAGTAATAAATCTTAGTGACCAAAGGGAGATAGGCATCTCAGAGAAAAATCTGCAGAAGTAAGACAGTTTTAGTCATATGGCTTCTGGGAAGGGAAAAAAAAAAGATTGAGTTCTGAGAACAGTTAATCCAATTAAAGAGTGTAATCTAGTAGATACCTGGAGAATTAATGTTCATTCCAGAGATTATATTTAGCACTTTAGTATTCATATGAATATGAGAAAAATACTGTTTTACTGAGAGAACACTGTTGAAAATGACAATATACTACTTCTATGGCTTCTGAATTGTATTGTCATTTTTTCCCCTCTGTTAACACAATTTGTTATTCAAATCCTGGAAAACTTAATGCTGTTGGGCTTTTTTGTTTTGTTTTCATGTGTTTTGTTTTGGAGGTATGTAATTCAAAGGCCCAGAAAAATTTACTCTTGAGCTTAACTGTTTGCACTGGGGATGCATCACTGTTAGATAAAATCCTCCTGAACTCTCCTTAGGGCAGGATACTTTTATTTGTGGTCTAATGAAAAGGTGTTTTCAAGAGATTTGAATGAGGAGGCAATAATAAGACAACCCAATTTAAAGATGCTAAACAACTGGTTGGATATTAAACAAATGTTAATGTGTTGTTGATTTGTAGTGTTGTTAAACAAGTATAATAAAGCCTGTTAACCACAGGGGCACCAACACAACAAGCACAGTACAGTTTAAGAATTGTGTTTTGAGGAAACTCTTCTTTCTCCTCCAAAGAAATTATCTGAATATGCTTCTTGATAGGAACTACATTGACTTCAGCTTTTAGATTTATTTTTTTTAGAAGGACTTTTAGCTTTCCTGCATTGGCCTCAAGACCAACTGCATCCATCCAGCTGATTCTGCTGTCATTCAGAGCGTGTTGTGGGTTACCAAAGACCAGCTCCAGACATTTTAAAACTGCCAGTGATACAGAGCTGATTTTAAATCACATCGAATCTTCCTCCCCCTCTCTCCAGAAAATTTCCTTAGTCTACTTTTCAAAAGAAATTCATCTTGTGTTATTACAGCCTCCACCTATTCTTTCTCTCTGTCCCTATTCACCGGTTTCACCTACATTTTATGAATCAGTATGGCGCAAACAGTAGCAGTCAAGTGGACACTCCAGAGCCAAACCCAGGGGAGGATGAAAGTGATGATAGTGCTGTGTGTTGTTGGTTTGGGGGGGGGTTTTGTTGGGTTTTTTGGTTTTGTTTTTTTTAAATGAAGCTCACCAGAATGTCTGTAGAATTCAGGCACACTTAAACATCCTATAACCTGAAAACCAGTTTCAATGGACAGTTATCCCTCCTTAGTAATGTGCAGCTCTCTGTGTAATAATTTCTAATGAATGAGGAATGAGAATTCTATAAAAAAAATACTGGAATTTGCTGTTGTTTCCTGTTTTGTCTTAATTTGAACAAAAACCTCTCCTTCAAGAGCTGGGAATAGCCTCATAATTAGGAAGGTCCCTGAGACGTCAGCCACTTGATGCTAAAGAGTGTGGGTTTTCTTGCTCTGGGACAGTTGCCCTCCTTGCTCTCTTCAGAGCTTCGGGAGACTGTGCAGGGGCAGCAGCCTCCTCCGCCTCCCCAGCTTCTCAGCCTCTGGCTCACACAACAGCTTCTTTCTCCCTGGCTGAAAATGTCATTCAGAGGGATATCAAAGCAAGTGTCCTCTTTTTCAGGGAGTGCTGCCCCTGTATGCAACTGCCATGCACCAA